ATGTTTGAACCAACGGAGGACAAAAATGTCCGAATTATTGTCCCGGGCGGTTGCTTCAATAAGGAAACTGAAGTTCGTTTCAAGGTAAAAAAAAAATGCCCAAAGAACACGTTGCTGAAACATTTTTTAAAACTTTGTTAAACACTGATTATAATACAATGATTTTGGAATAAATATTGCGGAAAATGACATAAGTAATATTTGTGGACAATTTTGAATGTAAGCGTTGATACAATTTTCATTATAACCGTAAGACCAAGTGAAAAAGCAATGATTATATTCTATCGTAGGTTGATAAAGATCTAGCAAATCGTACCAAAGCAAACAAAGAGCTTAATAATATTAAAATTGCAACCTCCTTACACGGAATAGAATTTAATGATGAAAATCTTGAAAAAGTGCAAATGGAAATTTACCCAGATTTACATAAAATAAGTAAGTATGGATTGATAATTAGAATTTTAACATATTGTCTACTCAGTACATGTTTTGGGTTTTAATTAATAAATCTGAAAAAAAGCGGAGTGGTTTTGTATTTTATTATAGATTTTCAATATCAGAGCTTGTGGAATTATTTTATTTTTGTCTCTATTCAAAGAAAGTGGCTCACTACATCAGAAAACAATAGAAAAATGCAAGAACAAATTAGTAACAGATATCTCTGTACTGAAAATTGCTGCTCGTTTACACAAGAATGGCAAGATAACAGATGATGTATTGGAAGAAATCAAGGTACTGAAAGTAAAAGGAGTCAGATTAACTTGAAACAACATTGAATCTTCGTTAAATGCATAGATGCTTTTTAACATTCGGTAACTAATATGTACACATACTGAAAAAAAGATAAATGTGTTGACAAATTAAAGAAGATGTATCACAAACAAACTTTTTGGCTGTATTTTACATAAGATTCAAAATAGCGAGGGAAAGAAAGCTCGGCGATTACTAGAGGAATTCAAAGATTGCGACATGGACCAGTTCAGTGCTATGACTGATGCCCTTGAGAAGGAAAATCAAGGTCATCTAGCACAGTACCTAAAAAAGACCATGAGTGAAATGAAAGAAGAAGAGGCAAATATGGGGTGTGATTTCGTCGGTAAATACAACTAGAACACTCTGTGATCCAAACAATTTTGACAAAGTATTTTGTTAAATTTACAGCTTAACTTCAGTATCTCGAAAACCGATATCTTTAATATCATGGATATGTCGAAGTAAATTCGAAGTTCTACTTTTTATTAAATAATTTACCCTGAATAGTTCGAATCCTTCATTACATGGAGTTTTTTATTCTGTTCCATCGAGTTCAAGATAATGATATCTTACTGTATTATTAACTAAAAGATTTTTTTTACTAGGTGAGATAGATAACCTACAACTACAAGTGGTGTCCAGTTGTAAGAACGGAGATTGGAAGGTGATGGAGAAGAAGGCATTAGAAGATTTCCCAGATGGAGTTGTGATTTCTCTACCAGCAAAGGGGGCAACATTTGAGTAATCATGCATTTTTTGTATCATCTCCCTGTGTTGTTCTTTATACATCCTAGAGTAATTGTATAAAGGATTTTAAAAGTATATTCTTAATAGTTTCATTTTTTGCAAACTGAAAAAATACTATTGAAAATTATTCTAGGAATCAATAAATTTGAACTTGGTGGCCTTTAAATAAATTAATAGTTTCCGTTTATATCTGTTTTTATTACAAAAGATTATGATTTATGATTACTCTTAAATGAGTTATTTCACAATTCAAATCTATCAAAATACACCGTACACAAATTCCTGCATTTTACATTATAAACAAGTAACTGTCTTCCAAATATTGAGCTGATGATATGCTCCAATTGCATTGTAGTGTCATGGGTTTAATTGTTCCAAAAGATATGGACAACAGTACAATTTGCCGAATCGCGGACCTGTTATATCGACAATCATACTCTATCAACGCCCGACTAATCGTTCGCCAGAGCGATGAAGAACCAACTCACGGATTTGTACGGTGTGTAGAGAGCAATTTATGCCAGACTGCGTCCGATGAAATGAAGAAACAAGGTTTCAAAAAAGGCCCTCCACACTGTAAAAAATGCGCTTAGAAAATAAACACTTCCATTACGTGTTTTGACCTAAACATGTATGAGATTGTGTTTAACGGCTAAACACTTAGGTCTAAACGTGTGTTAGATTGTGTTTAACGGCTAAACACTTATGTCTAAACGTGTTTTATATCTAAATGATGTTAAGATTTAACACATGTTTAGATATAAGTGTTTAGAAATTGAACACTTTTCTGTGAAGTACAGAGTTATCTTCCCGGAAATGACGCATATATATTCGAATGATAAATAGAGCGGTTATCGAAACAAAGGAAATCCCAATGCTAGCTAAAGAAGATGGATTAAAGGAAGTGAATGCTAATCAAAGTGATAACCATGAAGAGATTGTGAAATGCATTTAAACTGCAACATTACTGCGATAAAAGGTATGTTAACTATTATTTTTATTTTACATAAATTGACCAAGATGGCTACGTAAATAGACATGCGTTTGCACATGTAGTTGTAGATCAAGATTACCTTTGGTTATATATTGCATTCCTGAAATCTAGAAAGGAGTGCATTATATATTAGAATATCAATAATATCTATAACAGTATCAATACTAAATAGTGGTTATATAGACGAGGTTCAATGAAAGTAAAACAATAATAGCTATCAAACATGTAAACAAAAAAGGTAATACAAATCCAGCCAGTGAGGAGCATATTTTGATAAATTTTGAATTTCTTTCTTACAGGATATGGTCCACATCGAACTTGAAAGCAGAAATACACGTATCAGAGAAACTGAGTCTCCAAGTCCACACTTCTTACTTTCTAGGGGAAACTGAGTTTAGTGAAGTCTGCTGTTCGTTATAGCTTTGAACAACCTAAAATATTCTCAAATAATAACAAGTGGATTACCTACTGACGGTCACAGATGAAAACAAATTATGCGTGTGTTGCTCAGTGAAAAATTGCTGGAAGTTAAACTTGATACAGACATGAGGAATAACTGCTTGCTAATCTGGTTAGAATTAAAACCAGCGTGTAAAAATATAATGTATATTTAATTTAAAACTCTTTATAAAAAATCCATGCTTGAATGTTCATTGAATAAAATTTAAAATGTAAACAATTGTTATTTTTTCAGTTTTCTTGCAGGAAGACAACGAAAACATCCAAGTGTTTAATTTGTAAACATGTATCATAACATGTTTTGTAAAGTTTTTAAAGTCTAAACATGTAAGTGTTTTGGCTCTAAACACTTTCCGTTACACGTACTGAAATTCAATGTGTTTAGAATTTAAACGCATCCCAAAAAGTGTGACAAGAAAGTGCTTAGGAAAGTGTCTATCATCTAAACACATTTTTTACAGTGCAGATTCGCCTGAATTTGGAATTTGTGATGGAGAAGAAATCTTTATTACAATAGCAGGGAATTTAACTTTAGATTCAGACCACAAATTACTGCGATTGAAGTTTTACTTGAATATAGATTCGGCAAGGTCTACCTTCAAAGTTGAGGTATATAATAAAAAGGCTCAATCAGGAGACAAAGATTTCTCGGGAGAACTAAAGTATAGTGTTGGTGAAAAAGAACAAAGTCCGCCGCGTAGTGGAACCATTGTTTTACATGTACCGAAGGTAATCTAGAGTATTCAAAATTTGGCAAAATCTTAATCCAGAGACTATTTTCAAGCTTAGAGCCAGCTGTATTTCTATTACAGGTGTATTATTATTATTAAAATTATCTATTTTTTTAATTCTAGGACGAGGAACATCATAGATATGCACCGCTAACACTCGAAGTTCCATGTAAGGCACTCTTCATTTTGCTTGAAATTCTCATGGCCTTTGTATAATTTCTTAATTCTATATTAAAATCTTAACATGTTTTTTCTAGTGAAGGTCAGCGCTAAATATTTAGCCTGGCGAATCCCAACAAGTGACAAACTGAAAATAGACGATTTCTTGCGTTCTTTGGCCGGAACAAATTCAGAATTTCGAAAACTAAATCAACGAGCAGTTAAAGAAGCGGCAACTGGCACTGAAAGAGAAATGTGCGAAATCTTTGTAATGAATTGGGCCAGTCACAGACCAAAAAGTGAAAACAAGGTCAATACCTTTTTGGTAACAATAACCTACAAGATCCTTAAAGTTTGTAATTATTGCAATGTTTGTTCGGTCGAGTAAATCTAATAACATTGTCAAATTGTCATGAATTGTTATGAAAATATACTTTATCAACTAGAATATTATGAGAATAAATTACTCCTTTAAGCAAGGTTTATGAAAATTATTTTTTATTTGAATTCCAATTCTTTTTTTCAAGGTCCAAATAATATCATCACTGCTAAGATCTTTGTCTCCCGAGTTAGCCAAAGAGTTTGACCAATTCATGAAACCGTTTTCACAAGCGAATGGTATGTTTTGCACGTCTTTTTTATTATTATTATTTTTTTTACATATTTTAAATGACTAGTTGTTTTACAGATGACAAAATCAGATTTAATTTCAAAACTAAATGTAATTAATATATAATCACATTGATAAAAATGTAATTAGTAAAAATGTTAAACTTTTCAGGAATTCTTTCCAACAATGGTATTGAGGAACTTGGCAAACAAATTCATACGAAATGGGAAATTCTCGCCAGCAACCTTGGTATCGATCCGACTGATATCGACGCCATTAAAATTGATTTTCATGATGACGTGAGAAGGGCAGTGCGCATGCTTGATCAATGGCGTCTATCAAACAGCGCCATAGAAAGGGGAACAAATGTTTTATCATATTTAACTAAATGTATGGAGAATTCCAAATGCAGTCAGCAGGTTTTAAAGATGATCAAAGCTCAACGCTAATATAATTATTCTATTTTCAGAATGAAAGGTGATGGTAAATAATTGAGAATACTTTTACAAAACTTTCATATATACATGGAGATTTTGAATTTTTCAGACATATTTAGGCGATATTTAGATTGATATTTAGATTGAAGTACTAGTAGTGTGTAACAACTGTTTCTTAGACAGTTTGGTAATTTTCTTTGTATGTCTAATGGCAAATGTACATATGTTAATGAGATGTTGCTTATTGAATAAAATCAAGCTGAAACTAAAGAGGAAAGAAAAGAGGATGTGTGAAAGGAAGAAATAAATTATTACAAATTTCAGAGCTGTGGAACTTGAAAAAGTCAATCACCTTCAGGTCAGCTCAGGAGTATTTAAAAACCATAGACAAATTAAAATAAAGAAGACAAACTAAGTCGTGGTTCAATTTTAAGAAATTATTTGCACTTAAATGTAATATACAATTATTCAATTTGGGAAAACCTTACAATTTGTGTAGATGCATGGTGCATCTTTAAATGAACGATATGTAAACGTTTTTTTCTGTTAAAAAGAATTTTTTTTGTATAAAAGAATATTTCCCAAATACAGGTATTACTGACACATCTCAATAGTTAAACATAAAAAAAGTGAAATGTGCTTTGCAAGCGAGGTGATTTCAAAGTATGGAGGCAAAGTATCGACCAATTTTTTTTCTAATATCGTATTTTCTGAAAGCAAAAAGAGAGGTTTTAGATAGAAAATTTAAATTAAGTGTTTGAATACCAAAATATATTTCAAATATCTCTTTCTGCTTGGAAACTTAACCCAAATAATTTGTATTTTCCTTCCAAGATACTATCATTCGACTCCCTTATTTTATTTAACCATGTTCTTATTCAACAAAGTATGTGTACTTTTTAGTGTCACTAGTATACATGTATACAATATGTAATATAAACTACTATTGAGTGTCTTCCAAAATACTATCATTCGACTCCCTTATTATATTCAACCATGTTCTGCATTGAACCAAGTACTTTTTATTGTCACTAGAATATAAACTGCTATTGAGTGCATTGCAGCTTCAAGGAAACCAGACTGCGAGATCACTTGCTGGAGGATTTGATAGGATTTAGCCGTCTAGAAGCAGCGTCCATTCGTCTTACGTTAGAAAACATCATTTTACTGACAACAACCTGAAGAAATATAAAATACAATTTATCTTATTTCTACAATAATTGTATTTTATTTGAATAAAGTGTTTTGGACCTTTGCCATTATACTAAATACGTGAAGAAATCAAGGGATACCCTCATTGGTGGATTCAGCGTCTCTTGTACATATGTCTTTGGAACCAACAATCTAGAATTCTCATCCCTGATTGGTTCATACTGTCTTTTGGGTTTCGATACAGCTACAATTTCAATAGTTTTAAAGTTGTTTACAGTAGTACCACCATAGTGTATTCCATGAAGCTACAAAGAGAGGGCCAAACATTATTCTTATTTAATCATCTTTCAGATATATTACATTTAAGTTAGACATTTACGTACCGATGCATTTTTTATCGGATGGCTTTGAAGGAGAGTTGCCGTCTGCCACTTCCCGCCGTTTTTCGATATTTTCAATTTTACTTCTCTATGACCTTGAACAGCTGTATACGGAATGTACAAATACATCGCCATCTAAAGTTAAAAAAAAACACCTATATCGGTATATAGTTAACAACGTAGTCACAAATGCTGTAATACTTTCAAAATCAACGTTAAATAAATCTGACCATCTTTGATTCCATCCTTGAACTTCTAAAAAGAAGCCCCCGTAACACATACGAATATTTTATTTATTTATTATTGAAAATATCATTAGGTTGCAGGTACAATTTTGAAAAATAGACAAAATGCCACTTGCATTGATTAAGTTTAACAACTGCTGAATGGAACGTGAAGATAACGAACAGAGATCTATCTCAAAAGTCCACAATAAACAATATAGAATATGAGCAGACCTGTGAAATTAGAAGTGGGATCAGGTGCCATAAAGGAGTAAATATTTTATACCAAAAACCACCGCGCTCCTTATCACAATCTGTATTTTTTCTTAATTGGCCTTTTCTGAAGCCTCGTGAAAAACATCATGTAAAACTAGATACAAAGATGCTTTTTTTATTACTGTAATCAATTTTTTATTAAGAAATTTATCATACCTCCAGATCAATTTGCATGCCATGTTTGGATTTTACGGAAACGAGTGATGATAGAGGTTGTTCATATTTATCTGCTAATGCATGACTCAATTCATCTTGACGATCAGAAAATCGACATTCGATATCATCTCTGTTTAGTCCCTGTTCTCCTGTTATTGCAGATATAGCACAACATATGCCATTATGAAAAGAGTCGTTCACTTTGGGTCGGTCATACCTGTTAAAAGGCGTTTGAATATATATTTTTTCAACAGTTAATTATACATCCTTCAAAAAGCATATGTTTAAAAAAATGTACATACTTGTAAATAAACAGCAAAAATACTCACACATATGTTGGCCAATTATTTGGATCCCGTCTTCTTTTCGCTTCCTCTCTGCGACGAGCCTCAATAATTGGTCTCATTCTTTCTTCCTCCTCTCTCCGCTTTCTTTCATCCTCTATTCTTTGTTTCTCATCTTCAATTCTTTTTCTTTCCTCCTCAATGCGTTTTTTCTCTTCTTCAATACGTTTCCTTTCTTCTTCCTCTTTCCTTTTCTTCATTTCTTCCTCTTTTCGTCGTCTCTCCTCCTCTTCAAGTCTCTTTCTCTCTTCCTCTTCTTGTCTTTTTCGTTCTTCTTCCTCTTTTCTTCTTTGCTCCTCTTCCTCTCGTATTCTACGCTCTTCTTCAATTCTTTTACGTTCTTCTTCCTCTCTCATCCGTTTCTCTTCCTCTTGTCTTCTTTTTTCTGCCTCTTCTATTCTTCTTCTTTCCTCTTCCAATTGTCTTTTCTGCTCTTCTAAACGCTTCCTCTCTTCTTCCATCTGCCTTCTTTCCTCCTCTTCACGTTGTCTTCTCTCCTCTTCCTCTCTCCTTCGTTTTTCTTCTTCTTGGCGTTTCTTTTCCTCTTCTAAACGTTTCCTCTCTTCTTCGATTCTTTGCCTTTCCTCGTCTTCCTTCCTTCTTCTTTCTTCCTCCTGCTTTTGCTTAAGCATCTCCTCCTGTTTCTGCCGTTCCTCTTCCTGTCTCTTGCGTTCTATTTCTTTTAACCTAATTTTCTCTTCTTCTTCTTTCCTCTTTCTCTCCTTTTCCTTCCGTTCCATTTCCTCCTTCTCTCTCCTCTTCTTTTCCTCCTCAGCTAATCTCATTTGTTGCTGTTTTTCAATACAAATCTTCCATCTAATTATGGAATCATTAGTATTATCAATGTCATCCAATGAAAATATACCTTCCTTTTCTACTCTTATTATAAGTCCATCAATTTTATTAATGGATTCCATCAAGTCTTGTTGCTTTTTTGCACACCTTTGTAGTTCTGCCACATGTTTTGCTCTTTTAAGATCCAAGTTTTTTCTTAAAAAAAAAAACCCAATATGTATTGACATTGTTGTCGTACATATTGAAGTATTTATTTGTTTACATTTTAATTTCAATACCAGAATGAATATTCCCAACCTACTCTTTCAGCTGATATCGAAGTCCTAGTCCATTGCTATTCTGAAAACCTATACAAAATTAAAACTGATCGTAAATCAAATTGCATTAATTATTTACTAGTATTGTTCTTTTTTTCAAACTTGTCAACACGATAAGATATAAATCTTTGGTTGTCTTGGGAATTAACACAATTTTTCAACCATGAACTTTGGGACAAATACTAGTATATTCGCGTTTTGCATAGAATTAAGATTGTTAATGTTGCAAAATGATTAAAGAAAGAACAAATTATTAAACAAGCAAACTATTCTTACATACAATACAGAAATGAATCTTTTGTGGGCCTATAGAAGAAACACTCCTTTATGATTCCTTGTGATTTTTTTTTATAAAAAAAATTTACCTATAGTGAGGACATTATCAAAGGCACTTTTAATTTTTGACCCAAGTTGAACATTGAATTGCTCCAAAACCAGCCTAAGGGATGCGACCTCTTCTTTGATCCTGAACACATATTCAGTGACTTCATTAATACAGCGGGAGGTGTCTTGGGATATGGCAGCTACCGTGGCACTGAATTTCTTCAGATCCGCGCCTGGATCGGCGGGAAACTGCAGCTTGTCGTGGACATTTCGTCGATTTTTCAGCAATAGCAAGGCTGATATGTCTGACATCTCAAACCAGCATTAATTAATTTACAGGTGAATTTACTGTTATATTCTGAATTCGTTGTAAAAACTTTCACTGTCAAAATTTAAATGCAACAATTGATTCACACAAGGGATCTTTTTGTTTTTTGAACTTTAAATTGAATGCCTTTTCACTTCGTTTGAGTAACCACATTTAAAAGCATACATATATGACACAAATGCTTATTTAGAGCCACTTACATTTCCAATCGTTTTTATTTTTATTTTCAATACGGAATAGTCGTTTCTCACATAAATAAAATTAGGTAATGTTGTTACACCTTTATACCAAAGATGAACGTCAAATCTTTGACACTCTTATGATTGTCAGCCAGTACAATCTGTCGAATGCTGTCTGACATTTTCACACTAATTGTTTGGACATTATTAATCTTTTTTTGAAACTACTGGCCTCCGAAATAAAAACCAGGACAAGATCTGGTGAATCTAACCTTGATTCTTTTGGAAAATAATCCAAACTGAATATAAAAGTCATTCAATTCCAAAAGTTAGTCAGAATGACACTCATTGGGTTTAAAGAATTTTATCATTATGTCACTTTAAAAGTCGAATACTTCTTGGAAAGGGTGTGTCCCTTCATGTTAACAAACTTTTTCCATCACCCAAAGATAATCTGTGCAAAGTTTAGTTAAAATAGGTAGAGTGGTTCTTGAAGAAAGGATGAAAATGTGAAAAGTTTATGGCACCATAATTCATACAAGGGCAGCTTCATCAAACAAGGTATAAATTTTGATCAGAATAGCTCACTTGAGTCTTCAGCTTAAAAGAATGTATCCAAGGGCTACAACTCATTTCCTTTCAGCTACATGAATGTGTACTGAACAAGATTTCATGCAATTAAGGTTCTTAGCTTCATTATTCCTAATAATGCTGTACACATCTTCTAAATCAATAGTACAGAAAAACCTCACATAAATTATACATGTATTTTTGAAATTTTTTCTGTGTACCTATAAGCCACAGTATTGTTTGGTCAACATTTGTTCTTTTCTTATCAATTGATTCATGATTAGAAGCACTTCAATATTGCCAAAGACCTTTTGTCTGATACAAGTACTTCATCTGCATCTGAATAAACCAACACCAATCATGGGATGCAGAATTCTGAATTAGACCCTATGAGCAAGCCATGTTCTAATTTAGAGCACAATTTATAAATGTATTTTCTGACTTAAAGGACACAAGTTGCAAATGAAACCTCTATATGAATGCAAACACCTCTAACACTCTCTCAACTGTATATACAAAATCATTAATAAGTCATTCTAGTTTTTAATAATTTTATTTACTAAACAGGAAGTAGAAGTTGACACTGTTGTCACATAAAATAATGAACTTATAGTACAAAGCATTGGAATGCCACAGGACTTAGACGCACAAATCATAGCTCCTTCACATTTTAACTACCCTACTATCCAAGACTTTTTCAAATTAATAATCATGATAGGAAATTTCTAATGACATTTACGAATCAACAGACCTATACTGTTCCAGACACATAATTATTTCTTTCTCAGACATTTTTCCCTGCACCATTTTTATTAAAGTACATATAAAACATTTTCAATACAATTTTCTTGTCAAAAGGTTCATCATTAGTTCACAGACTCAATGATGAATTCATAATATCTTCTTTCTTCTTATTTGGACTTTGTGGTGGTTCACTCATTTACTCCTGACTATATATTCACTATCACAGTTTGCTTTACATTCTATAAATTATTTGTTATTACTCACAATCAAATAAAAATATACAAGAAAAAATTGAACTTTGGTGGAATAAACTGGAAAAAATAAATACTGCAAAAATAATCTTCAACATAATTTACACTCCACCTATTTCAAAGAAAAAAAATGAACAATCTCTTAACTCTCATTCTGCGTATATGAAACTTTTGAAAAAAAGGAAAACTCAAATGAGCAAAATGATAACCTTTTTGACCACTTTCATGCCATTAAAAAAACAAACTTAAAAAAAACCCCAAGATTTAGAGGATAACATGATTTCTTGTGAAGAGTTTGATGATTTTCTTGCAGTCCATGAAGCTGTTGTACTCCCGTTGTATGTGTAACAGTGACCTGGTTTTTAAATCCACTTCCATCAGCATGAGCATTAACACGATCATTCTTCGCCGGACCCGGCGGTCCTCTTGCTCTTCCTCTGGCGGGGGGATTGTTTTGGTGAACGCCCCGGTGACCTGTCTAAAAAATTCAATAACGATAATTAACTTTCAGCAATTATTTCACCTTAATTTACATAAAAACAGTTTTAAACTTGTCTAACTCCTTACTACTTTACTTTCTGACATAAAAATGTGCATTATTTATTTTTAATATACAGCCTCAAACTCGAACGGACTGAGAAAACACTTCAAGATATTGAGTATTTGAGATATAAAGGCTTAAAAGGGTAAAATACTTCAAGGATAAGTGGTTTGGACTCAAAACTCAATCTAATCTATTCATGGTATTCACGATAGTTCAACTGCAGTTTCATACTAACAATTTTTTTTTCCTGAATTCTAAATGTCTACAGCAGCAGGCTGCCTACTAAAACACTTACTTAAATCCCTGTCCAGTGTTTCCTTTGGGATCCAGTCGTAGTCCACATCTGTATTCTGTGTGCCCATCTCCACAGGCTGATGATGATGCGGCGTTCTTGAACGACGTTTTTTCTAAAATTGCAAAAGGAACCCAATGATAAATTACTTTTTTTAAAGAGCATATGTACCATTAACTGAATCTGTTATAATAATGATGTCTGAAGTTACTATACCCTAAATGTTTGATATCTGGTAATATGAAGATGTCTGAAATTATTATACCCTTAATGCTTGAAATTTGTGATAATAATGAAGATGTCTGAAGTTATTATACCCTTAATGTTTGAAACCAGTGGTAAAATGAAGATGTCTGAAATTATTATACCCTTAATGCCTGAAATTTGTGATAATAATGAAGATGTCTGAAGTTACTATACCCTTAATGCTTGAAATGCAACAAAGGTTCAAACTACTTCAGATAATCTTGCAAGTTTTTGGAAAGACAAAATCTATGAAAGCTTATTGCTTCCTCTGAACCTGCATCATTTTTATGTAAAAAGTTTTTACCATTACATCAAAGTATGATAAAAGCAAACCTATTCTGAGCTAAAGAACTTTATAAATCTGTTCTAATTATGAAAAGATGTAGCATGAGAAAGAACTAAGTAACCTTATACACTTACGCTGAAAGAAGCCAGGAGTTGCTGCGCACCAACCAATAGCAAAACCGCAATAGCTGCCAAAAACACGTACAGGAAAAATCTGTGGAGAACATTATGTACAATGTATAACATGAATATAGCACATGATTCAATTTTAAAATATTTTCATACAATGACAATTGATATAAAATATTTGTATAATTTTGCAAGAGTTTTAAATTCAGAATATTGTTTGCTTTTGTAGTTGCTTTTAAGGCTATCTAAATTTAATTCCCTGGTTCTCAGGCCAATTTTCTCCAAAACAGATGCGCGAGGGCGGCATTTTATTTTTCATTTTATTGGCAATAAAGAAGATGAGGGAGGTATTTTTTTTAATTTTAATTTCCGAACCAACATAAAGATAATTTTTTTAATCACAGATATACTGCCAAAAACATCCATTGCTTAACAGCGTGTAAACATCGTAGGTAATGTCCTCGAATGCATTTTCAAACACATCTCATTGTAAATGGCTAAAGTGATATTTGAACATAAAACGAAACAAATGATTTTTTTTTAAAATATTTTCATACAATGACCAACTTTTTATTTTATAAAAATACAATAAAATCGGTAATGCGGCTACCTTCAAAATATTGCGCAGCTTTTGTAGATTTCAATTTTATATGGCCTAATAGTTCAAATTAATAATCACTCATAAAACAAATATCACAATTTTTTCTTTTTTATCTTTATATTTTCATCATGACTTTGAATAAAGAAGAAATTGTCTGAAGTTGTTAATTTAATATAAGACAACTTCATTTTATATTGCAAGACTCAGGAAAGTCAGAATCTATGCAGAGAATTCTGCTTGCTGTTACTTGCTTATATCCATTCAAATTACAAATTCTTAGTAAATGCTTAAATCAACTCTTTAAACATACTGTAAAAGCAGAAATATTTGTTAGGGATTAAATTTAGTTCATTTATTTGTTAACAATTATCACATAAAATAAATCCAGCTCGAATTTGTTATTTTACAACAATAAAATGAATAGGGTTGCATTTAAACAAAAATTCAAGCCTATGAAAACCTTTTTAGATGACAAATTAACAAAATTTTAACCCCGAGAAAATTTGTGCTTCTTTTTAGATGACAAATTAACAAAATGTTAACCCCGAGAAAATTTGTGTTTCTACAGTGTTATCTCCAATTTCTTTTGATTTTTGATGACGGACTAAAATTCACTAAAATATGTCGGACCTCTAAGAAATCAAAAACCTTTTGTTATATATCATTCTTCCTTTGTAATTATACTCCAGTCATTTTGCAGACACATTTAAAATCTCCCAGATTTACTTAATATACACATACTTTTGGTTTCTCACTATTTTGAAATGGCTACTGGGAATACAGCTACCTCAAAACAGACACAAACTGGCCCAGAACCATAATTTCAAATTTTATTAGACTTAATGTCAGCTGTAATTTGTAAATAAGATGGTACATACGTTTCTCCATCCAATCCCTCATCTGGTTCTACTATGTTGACAGTTTCATTGAAGACTGGGCTCATGAAAAGGTTACCATCCTACAATAATCAAGTACAAATATGCAAAAAGGGTCTAGTAAACTAAATCAAAACTAGAACTGTCCAATAGGGACAAATACCCCCCGCTGGGTTTTTCAGAGAAGGTGCCAATTCAAAAATACTTTATGGATCTAGAGGTGTTCGCAATTTACTTATAAAAATTTGCAGTGAAATATAATTGCTCATCATGTTTCTTAATGAATGAAACAAAGGTGCAACCAAATGAAACATCAATACTAATACATTGTAATTCGATTGTAACATTATTTTTTTTTATTTAATTTTGTTATTTCTGCATTAAAAAAATATATTGCAATTATGTGTTATGTCACTCTGCAAACTGATTGTTGAAAAAAAATCATATTATACAAAATCAAATTAATCTTGATAACTTTATATCAAATTCAATTGAAAATAAAGAGCTGGTCATCCAGTAATGAAGTGCTTTGACAGACAATAAATTACAATTAAGAGAATAAGAGAAGAGAGATCTTTAATTCTTGTGCCTGATTCCCAGGAGATTACACATGGTTGATAATAAGATGCCTTAACGTTCAACTTCCCACACCAAACTCATTAATTTTTCTTTAACTGGATGCATGTCCAGTCATTATTCCCAAGAGATAAATAAAATTACATTATCTTCTGTGCAATGTAAAAACTGTTTTTAACACTTGATGATGTTTCTTTTTTTAAAGTTTATATGAGTAGTTTTAAGCTGTAGTATTTTTGTACAGATATTCTAGATTCTATGTCTCAAACCTTATACTTGAGCCCAAAATGAACAAGTCAATTAAAATAAAAAATAAAACCTGTAAAATGCAAAAAAATGAACAAAAAGAGTTGAAAATTCCAATTGCACACCTTCATATGGTGAATAATAAGTGTACAAATTTTCAGATTAATCCTTGCAATAGTTTCTGAGAAACGGTCTGGACAAAACCACAAAATAAAAATGAAAAAACACCTGTAAAATTCAAAATAATAATCGAATCAAGATGAAAATATCAGGTGCACAACTTCATACGGTGAATAATATTTGTACAAATTTTCAGACAAATCCTTCCAATAGTTTCTGAGTAATGGTCCGGACAAAATCTCGTCTACAGACAGACAGACAGACGGACAGACGGACATGGTGATTCCAATATACCCCCCCTGAACTTCGTTTGCGGGGGGTATGATAAATTGTTCTGCTGTGCCTAATAAAACTGACTTGACAAGTAATATAATATCTTACCAAAAGTACTGCATTTCACTTTTCAAGTTTCAAGTTTTTATTTAAGACAAAGACCCCAACTGGAGTATATGAATACAAATAATACAAGATTTTTGCATAAACACAAGAATGCATGAAAGACTGAGTGGTACTAATGTTATTTACATATACAATTCACATGTATAGTTCAAATAATAAAGTATAGAAGGCCTCTGCTTATACAAATAAAACAATATGTATTTATAACATTTGTTACATAGTAGTTTTGGTATTAATATTAGCATATTACTGACAATAAAATTTTACAAAATTTGGCAAGCCCAAAAATAACTTCAATATCCTTACAATTTAAGAAGTCATGAAATTTGATAACATTAGGGTTAATCTGAAAACATGTTGAAGACAAGAAAAAATAATTCATCCGTAAATGAACTATTTAAGTTGTACAGACTTTTCATGTTTTGATTTAATCTTATTACTAAGCAGCAATAAATATTCTTCCCCATTCGTAAAGAGCCAACTATTTTATCTCTATACAAACAAGGGCACATAAATTTTTATGAGAATCTGCATTAGTAATACTCCATGTCACAAGCATTAAAGTTAAAACAAATCATGCTGTAGCGACAACCACCAATTTATCTAACGTAGAAACATTTATTGCTGAAAATTTTTGATTTAGAACACTACTTCATTAAAACTGACCTCATCCTTGTAATTTAGCAGGACGGACAATCCAAAGGGTCTACCAGCAAATCCCTCATTGGGAGTAAATCCATACTCAAATGTCGCCTGTCTTTTGGATGCCACCTCTTGGTTATACTGGGCTGTTGTGTACTAGAAAAGACAAATAACCATATCAACATTGTACCAGTGATACATGTAATAAGTATTTCTTCCGTCTTGTCCATGTTTTAAGTGATCCATCCTTATATCATTTAACATACACATGTAAAGAAATCTCTAGTGAATGTCACGATTTGTAATAAAGTTTTCTTAACATTATATTACAGAGCTGTGGAAAAGTTTTTCAGAAAGCCAGTCATTCGGACCGGCAAGAAGACAAAATATGTCGGTCCGAAGAGATTTTTGCCGGTTCGAAATAGTAAGTTGCGAAATTAAAAAGAAAAGCATTACATTTATTTTCTTAAGTACACTTTACTTAATAAAACATTTTTAAAAAAAGTCTCCATTTCCAAGTCCATCCTCCTCCGTTTTCATTTTTTGCATTAATTTATAACAATACTAGATTTCATCACTTTTTGGCAGGTAACAATGATAATTCTGCATCGTAAACGTAATTTTTTAAAAACATTTATGCATTTAGGAATTATATTTTGCCTCGAAAATGCGTCTAAGAAACTCTGTGCATCGATAATAAAGATACCATCATCATGAACATGATCGATGAAAAAAACGAAATCTGGGAGACTGGGACTTTCGGAACGACGGAACTTCACGGAAGTACTAGGTTTACCGCTTTACTCAACTGTGTTTGAATTTTTTCTGTCAAAATGTTTTACATACCTAGCTATTTAGCCTGTCTTATCTTTTTAAAAATGTTTTTTACATAATTCTGTCCCATTTGTAAATTTAAAAGGTCATGCGAGACAATGCTGGTTTCGCTTTCATTTCCTATAGCCTCGATCTGGTGCAAAGAAAAAGTATTGCGCAATCATTTGTAAGGTACGATAACTAAGCTGGGAAGTGTGCCGATGATACGTCTAAATCAAAATGGAAAATCAAAAACCTTTAACAAAGAAAGAGGTCGGTCATTTGGACTGACATCAATAGCATTTTTACCGGTCATAGGCATTTGTTGCCGGTCTTGATGGCATGACCGGCAGTTTTCCACAACTCTGTATTAGACCAATGAAGATAAATTGATGTAAAGTGTTACTGGAATGAATTTTGCCAAAGTCAGTAGATAACAGCAATTTCAATTTCTTAAATTTTCCTTGGAAAATGTGACAAGTACCTTATCTTGAAAATGAATTGAATAAACTCGTCATGTACACCTTTAAAATTCTCAAAGCCTCCCCCTACCCCCAAATAATTAGAATTAACAACCATCTAAATTTTTTTCAAGTCTCTTGAATGATACAGAACATCTAATTACTCACTTCCAAATGGGTCATAAAAACTATTTTTTGGGGCATCAAATATATATATAGTGGAACTACATTTCAAATTAGTAGGACTTATCATGCTTATAATAAACTTAGTAACTTACATTCTGAATAAAGAAGTTGTAATCTTGAGGATATCTGAAAGAACATTCCAGTGACTGAACGGTGAAAGTCTTTTCTCCTTTGTTTGTGAAACCAACCAAAAATCGAATTGTTTCACCCGCTGGTAAATCTACAAAGCCAATGTTACATAAATAAAAAATCAAAGTAAATACATAAATATACTTTTTTTCCCATGACAAAACTGACTAATTTAATCCAATTTTTTTCCCCTCACAACAGAGTTGGAGGGGATATAGCTACACAAAACTGTGTGTGCTCGTTTGTGGGCGAGATAGCCCTGAAACAAGTGTCTTTGGGATCAATTTTGAATGCTGCTATTATTTATACACTTTTTGGATGCTTTGCTTTACAATACCCTTGTTTCTTTTATAGATGTGTGTGGTTTTTCTTTTTACCTGTTACACCAACTGGTTTGGTAAAAAGCATAACAGCATCAGCATCAGGTGAAGGTTTCAACTGTTGTTCTTCCTCAGTTGATTCTTCTTCTTCATCTCCCTATGATATTCAATATCATTGTAATGCTTTAATGCAAACCACACAGTGACTACAATTCATAGGAAAATTGCATCTGGAGTTTTTCTAAATTCGAAGACAATTTGGTTTAAATAGATTATACCATATTCATTTTTTTTATTATCTTGCCAAGTCACAAGCTATTTCTCATCAGCTTTATAAGAATATGTTAAAAGGATTTTAATTCAACCTTTTCTGTTTCAGTTACTGCTTGCTCTGTGTCATCAGCACCATCTTCACTCTCAACCACAGTGTCTTCATCATCCTCGCCTTCCATTGCATCCCCTTCCTGGGCATACACTGCTGCTTTGTCTACAATTATGTATTTCAATTGTCAGTTTTCTCAATAGAGTTCAAGTAGCAGGCTTGCGCCTCAAGGTTTACTGATTTAAAGCAAGTGCACACTAAAAATGCATAGCCTAAAAGACTCGTCTGTGAAATAAACAATATTGTAATTGATTAACATGTCTCAAAGAGACATTCAAAGGACTAATCACTTTTGAATTACAGTATACATATACAGATATGGGTATGAACAATTAAGAATTGAATATCTATTAGAATATGAGTATGTCTAAGGGGGCAAGAGGGATTTATATTTTTATATCTAAAGGTTGGATAAAAAGAGATACGATGAATAGATAAGAAAAAGTAAATAAAGAAGTCGTTATCGCAGCTTGATTGTTTCACACAACATCATATGTTACATGAAAACATTGTACCATCTAGTTCAACAAATATAAATGCTAAGCACTAAAGCAGTAGTTACATATGGTTTAGATATCATCGTGAATAAATAAATAAGTAAATTTCATATCAATAACATAAGTCAGCTCACAACATATCACTAAAAGACATTTAAAACGCTGTCAAAATATGCCACGTAGTATTTCTTCATAACAAGAGTTGCAATGGGACTCACTATTATCAAATATCATAACTGTGCAGGGAAGCACCAGCAGCAAAAAAAGCATCATCTTTCCTAACATCGACCACATTTTGATCTTCCTTTAATTCTTCACAACTACCAGGATGCCGATGGATTTTCACAGCGCCCTTCGTCTTCCCTCTATCCGATGTCTACACCGGCGAATATTGTGTGGTGTTTGTTATCTTTAATTTCATTGGTCTATTTATTTTCATCAACCAATGAAAGTTTCTCTTAATAGAACCGGAAGTTGTCTCTTTTCGCACCTGCAGTCTGTTGCCCGGGGCAGAAATTTTGAACAATTAAGAAATACAAGTAATTATACTTATGACATGTATTTATTGAAATATTGTAGCACTTAAGGGTTATTGATAGCAACTTTAATAGTTTTATTTGCATTCCCATACACTGTAAAAACCATGTTTGAAAGTACTCTACTTGGGTCAGGCTAATTTCAGTAAAATCAGTGATATTGTAGGAGTTTATAGTTTGCTAATATTTTAGATATTTAACAAGAATAAAAAAATTCCATTTAAGATTTATATTTTGATTTTTTTAAAACTCAGAAAGGATTTAATTAAAGGACTTTTTAGCATTATTTTTATGTTTTAATGGTTTTTGATTAGGATGACGGCAGCATGCAGTAGAACAAGATCATGTCTGCTAGAGAGGGTAAGTAACAAGATTCTGAATGATTTTCAAGCTGTTGGTCAGTGTGAACTGTCATTGAATAGGAAGACTCAGATTCATCAAAAAGATCTTAAACACACAATTTTACACAAAGTACATTTGATCAAAATACTTGAACAGGTTGGGATCACTCACTTAAATGGGATATAATGGCCCATTTGGGATATAATAACCCAGATGGGATAATATGTTTTTTTAAGGTGTAACCGTTTAGGCGAGCGCAGTTATTTACTCTCAAAAAACTATATATAGACTTTACTTGCACTGCCTTATCCGCAGTTCATTAAAAAAAAAATCACTTCCTTTCAAGTTGTGGAAAACTTTTTCAGCCGGTCGGACCGGCAAGAAAACAAAATAAGCCGGTCCGAAGTGATTTTTGTCAGTCCGAAATAGTAAGTTGCAAAATGAAAAAAAAAAACATAATATTTATTCACTTAATAACACATTTTTTTAATAAATCATTTTAATCATGCTAATAAATGATACAAAATTCAGAAATACCCAAGCTGTTTGAGTGAGGAAAGTATGACACCAAATTAGAAGTCTTGATGCCTTAGGACGCAAATGATAGTTTTGTGGCATTGAGATTGCATTAAATCGTTGTTTGTAATTTTTTCAAGTAAGTTGTTGCTATTTTTAAGCCACCATGTTGCTAACCCCAAAGGATTATTGGGAGTATGGAATTTTTTCACGTGTTACAATAAAAATTTCTTACTTCCAGCAACAATGTGATCGGAACTGAAAATTTCAGATTTTATTTACTTTCTATCTCTCGACCTGAATTTCCTCTTCGAGAGATTGACAGTCACCTGTTCATACACGTTAGTCTATTGATCTATCATAAATCCACATTAAGATACTTTTAAAGGAATAACTTTTGGCTAGGAAGTTTTTCTGTATTTCCATTGTTTAGGAGATTGATCCCTCGAAATTTCGTTTACTTCTTGGGGATCAATGTAACAAACTGAAGGGTTGCAGAAAAACTTGATTGCCAAAAGTTATTCCTCTTTCAGTATTTTGATGCGTATTTAAGATATTTTTTGCCAAAATAATTTTTTTTTAAATTTTCTGCACTGTAAATTTATATCCCATTCATTAGAATGACCAGATAAGACAGGTTACTGCTGGGTACAGGTGACTGCTGTGACAAGTTTGACTAGTTAAAAATTTTGGATGCAGAAGGAAAAGAATTATAAACATAATGTTATAAAAGGATAAAATAATATTTTCTCAATCATCTTAACTGTCAGAAGAGAAAATGCTACAAAGTGTTAAACAAGTATCATCATTATATATTTACATTACACATGTCTTTTGCATATAAAGTGAATGGAAATCAATTGCATTCAAAAAAACATAACATGGAGAAGGTGCTAAAAGGTTAAATCGTTTGATTTAGTTTGACCATACGTCACAATTGTTGAATGCCGAGGAAGTGCAAAGTCATAAACTAAAATCAAAATATCACACTCACATTGACCAGGAGCTGTTACGTTGGCTCTTCCATTAACTGTAGCTTACAAGGAGGATAATACATAGGTTTTTAAATATAAATCACATTTGCAGTCAAGGTAGAGAGTAAAAAAAATGTAAATATAAGCAATGAATCATTATTTTTTGAAAGATTAATTAAGTCTCATAACTGCAACGGTGTGTGCAAACAAATTGAGTAACGCTCTTTTGAAGTTGCAAGCTTAATATATGATATAAAGTATATTCATGCCTAATAGGTAGAAAATCTGTCAGACTTTGACAGAATGTTTTGTAATTTTATGTTGTTTTTTTTTTTACATCAAAAAAGTGCTAATGCATAGAGCCTTGTAAACTGTCTGAAAACTGGTAAGTACTGTTCGAATGTTAATTATTTGGCTGGAAAAAATCAAATTATCACATATTCTGCAAACTAAGATGGTTACAAAAGTTAATTTGAGAAAAATCTCGTATACTTGTGGTGTATGAATAGGAAAAAAATATTCCTTGTTATATAACAGGAGGTTTATACTAAGTTCAATTAGTTCTAAATATGTTAAAGCCAGGAAGGAAAGTATAATTAGAGAAATTTAATCATATGTTCTATTTCTGTATTCCAAAAGAAAATAAAAGAAAGTAGATCAGATAATACCTAGAAAAAAAAATGCATTAGTTTTTGAAAAAAACAGTAATTATTAAGATATGATTTTTTTCTACCAAACTTTATTTTAGTTTTATTAACATCATTTTCATCCATTCATATGGAATAATTAATTAAGCAAAAAATTAAAGTGTGGGTTGAAATAAAAAATGAATATAGATGAAACAAAATTAGAAGAGAAAAAAAAAATCATTTCCTGTTGATTAACAGTGATCATCTCATTGTGATAATGAGGTCATTTAATTAGAACACAGTACAATTTTGTGAATCCCATGCTTGTGGTTTTACTTGATATCGTATTTGGAACTTGAATGTTAATATCATTAAAGATTGATGAAAAATGTAATATTGAAAAAAGTAATTTTTTGCACTTTTGTTTTATTTGCTGAATAAGCAGTTCAGAAACCATTCCTCCGAATGATCTATTAATATTTAATGATGTATTTTGAAGTGTATTACAGTAAAACTTGGTTAAAATGAAGTCACTGGGACCTCTGAAATTACCTTGCTGTATCCGTTATTCGTTTTATCCGTATAAGGAATTCATTAAATTTATATATCCAGGGATCCAATATAACTTCATTATATTATTTGCAATATACATGTTCATACTAAACAAGTTTTACTGTATGTGCTTTAAGTGAGACTTAAAACACTTCTGTATATATTGCAGTTAAAATGAATCTTAAAATGACAAGTGTGCATTTCTACATCTGTGACATACCAAATGTTCAATTATATTGTGGAATCATCAGTGTTAGTGGGTATTTTGTTTACACTTTTATTAATTGAATCTTCTGTACATACACATTATCTACAAAATTATGTCTTTGCAAATCAACCATAGAATCTTAATGAATTCATGTGATTTGCAACCATGCATGCATTTCTCTGAGAGTTATCCCTCTTTGAATCAATGTGTGAAAATGTTTTAGGATATTTTACATGACAAATGTATTGTCTACCTGATTCTGGAAAAAAATGGATAAACATTTCACCCACATGTATTTCAATAATAGTCATCACCTTGTATTTCAATAATAACAATCATCTTGTATTAATATTAGGGAGAGGGCACAACCAACAATCAGAGATTTTCAAACACTGAACTCTTTCACACTGTATGCAAAAAATGAAAAAAATGCTTTTGTTTTTCTTCCCTGGCCTCAAAAAAAGTTTCAGAGGTTTGCTTATCTGCCCATAAAGTACATGTTCATAAATTTTAAATTTTTTTTAAACTTGTATCAGTTGAATGATGTTGAAGGCTTAGAGAAATATCTTCTTTCTTTTGTGTAAGTGATACAGAAAAAAATTAAAGCATTTCATAAATACTATGAAATGTCAGACTAATGTAAACATATACTTTTGAGTTCCATTCCAACATATATTATCGCATCAGGTCAAAACTAAAAAGTAATAATTTATTGTCTTAATACATGCAATGTGTTATTAGTTTGCTATAAAGTTCCTAATACATTGTTTTTCTCAGCTCTAGCATTATCTTTGGAAGTTGAAAATGTGCTACAACATCAATACATAGAGACGTGCATGAAAAGTAGTATTAGCAGAGGTGATTTCCTCACAATTCAAAGATTTGAAAAAAGATTTTTTTAAAAAAATCCCTGAATGTGATGCATACAGATATACATATTGATTGAATCTATTTATTCAACTATTTGAAACATGATAACAATTTGAAGGCGGAAAGGATGCAAATTAATCCTTGACTTCATTTATTTTTACATTGGTTTATATTGGTTGATGTGTTTAATAGCCAATTGGAATGTATAGATTAGCATGTCACTCTATGCCCCATTAACATTCCAGGTTCCGCAACCTTTAAAGCTTTTTGGGTAATTTTTGTTTTTTTGTCTATTTTATTTTTGTCCATAAGGGTATAATACTAGGTGACCCACATGTTTTTTTCCTCCAAGGTATGACATTGGGAGGAGTTAATGAGAGTGAATTCTTCCCACTCCACACATTACTGGTGGTAGTAATATATATCGGGATTTGTTTCTGTTTTTCCATGGCAAGGTGTCCTTAAAGGTTGTTATTTCCAATATTAATTGAGGTAATTGGGTTGTGAATGCTGTAAATGAAGTTAGTATTGATCTGAAGTTGTCAGAACAAGCTTTTGTGCTTCCAGAGTTGCTTGTTTACTATATCTTGACATTGTGCGCAGCTTGTCTGCCATTGATGTTTTTTGGGGTCTTCTGGGTTTTTTTTGTATGTATGTTACAAAGTGCAAGGCACTGATTGGATAATATTTGGTTACAGAACCATGTTTTAATATCTCCCTCTGGTGACATTAATCAAAAATAAAACAATAAATAGGATGTATTTATTGATACTGGGATTG